AACTTGAGACATTCAATGATATCATTTAAATGCATCTATGTTCATCTTACATCAATTGATTAGTCATTAATACATTGCATATCATATAGACTTTTATCTAATTCCATCAAATTATAAACAACAAGAATTAATTGAAATACTTCTTTTATTAATAAATAAAAATGCAACATTACAACAATTCAAACAATCCAAACAAGATTAGATCTTAGGCACCTACACTAACATCATGTTCTCTCCATGCTCTTGTAATAGACATTGACTTCTATGTTGCTTTCCTAGGAGACATGCATCCTATGTTTTAGTGCAATAATATATGTCTGGAAAATCTCTCACCATATTCCTTTACTAAATAAATTTATATGAAGAGAAGCTAAAGTGTCCAAATCTTTTGTCCCAAAGTATGGTTCCATCACCGGAGGCTTTTAAAGCATTTAATTATGCAAATTGTCACCGTAATGAAATTTTTTTCCATGGCAATCTTGATTATCTCCCTACTATCTTGATCATAAATAGTGTATTAATTATGCTAAAAAACAAGAAAGTAGCCTTTTTTTTTTTTTTTATCATTTGAGCTATACGAAGTAGGGTTTGTTTGAGATTGGTACTAAAAGAATATCTTTAAAAAATGTAGTACCTTTGTTAGTCTCTACATTAATGGTGTCTTTAACTTGTGAGTTTACAACATCTCCACTCCCTATTCTCCCTATTCTTATAAGGACTCTAATGGTTTCATATAGCTTTTTGAATATTTTTGAATTATGAGTCAACCGATTTGTATAGCCACTATTGATAAACGAGGTCTCTTTTCTCTTAGACTCTAGCATTTGAGTTGTAGTGAATAAATGATCTTCCCTTACAACCTCTTGGAGAGTTGCTATTTGACTTGTGTCTCAACTAAAAAACACCTTTTAATGAACTTTCTCGCTCATTTACAAAATCTCTACTCATGTGTTTGTAATATCCTATTAACTTAATTAATGAGAGCTTTGACAAGTCTTTAGAATCCTCAATAGCTGTTATAACATAATCAAACTTTTCTAGGAGAATGATCATCATTTTTCAACCACTCTTTGATCTAAGTTGATTCCATAAAACCTCATTTGATTCATAACTTTTATGAGCCTTGAAAAGCAATCATTCACTACCTCAGCCTTCTTTCACCCCGAGAACCTTAAATTCTCTTCTTAAATTTTACAACTTGATGGTTATTATTGTCTTTCCCTTGAAATTCTTCTTAAAAGATTTTTCAGGCTTGCTTTACTATGATTCCACCAACAATCCTTGATAAAGGCATAATTTATATATATTTATTGTCTATTCACTTCGTATATTTCATTTTTTATGTCTTATTGTGCTCGTTTATGTTCAAATTAATGAGTAGGATATTAGTTGAAAAGTGTTAGAAAAATATGCTTTAAAGTGAAATTTCGGGATCTTTGTGTAAATGGGCTTTTAGGCTTTATGCGGGTTTTAGGTATGGAAGATGAGTCTAGAATTAAACATGGTCTTCACTAAAGTTGTAGAGGACATACCAAAGATTAAATAAAGGTGTGATTGGTCAAAATTTGAGGTCATTTGGTCCTTATGGTATTGGTGTAAAGTTAGACTTAGAAGTTGGAAAAAAATCATGATAGACCATTGAAACTTAAACAAAACATAATTTGGGCTTCTATAGGAAAACTTTGGTGATTCAAAAGCCCAAAGTCAATATAAATTTCATAGCTAAAACTTTTATGAAAATCTAAGTGCACAAGAAGTTAGTTTCTCGCTTCTAATTTTGGTCACAATTTATTGCACTAATCTCTTTCCTATCTTATTAAGCAAACCTTATGATTATAATCTATAATTAAAGAAAGATTTTAGGAATTATGCGCTATGATTTTAAGTGAGTTATGCATCCAAAATTGGGTATAATTAAGTTTCTTGGTGGCTAGGTTAAGGTAGGATGCTTTTTGATAGAATTTCATCAAAACGTATGTTTATTTTTCTATAGTCTTCATCAACATGTGCAACTAAGTTTTTCCATTTCAGCTCAAGGGGATTTTGAAACCCAAATTCATGTCATTAGTGTAATTAATTATCATTAAAGTTATTATTATCCTTTTTTTTTAATTAGAATTGAGTATGTTATTCTCTATTATTAGCTTATGATTTCTATTTGAATGATTTAGTAAAAGCCTCGTTGAGTTATTTGGATTGAAATTAATGTGTTAGATTTAGAGATTGTGATATGTAATTGTCCTATTTCTAATCAATAAGTGATGAATGGTAATAGATGATTATGAACAAGTTTTCATTTTGTTACTATGAGAAACATACCTTGAGCTAAATGATATGAACTTGTGTGATTTTTGCTTAGATTGATTTGTTTTTCCTCTTTCTTAAGGTCTGCCTTAAGTTGAACTTAGTGAACTTATTATAGGTTGTTCAAAGGTTAGAATCTAATTGAAGAGCTTATTGTAGTAGTGGTAATCCGAGGGAAAAAGTTTGTTAACGGAGTTTGTTGTTGCCTAGAATCAATAACTCCATTAAGCAAGGTAGAATAATGTTACAATTGTTTATGTCCATTGCATTTGTGGGTGGAAATTGAACCAAGAACTAGAATTCTTTAATGTGATTATCTTTTCTTTTATTTTTTTTTTGTTTAAATTGTAGTAGGTTACTTATAAACCAACCCCCCTTCATTTACTCGTGTTTTGTCGAGCCATTTTCTATTTTTGTTAAACCATTATAATAATCAAAAAATCATTCTTTATGGGATCGACTTTTGCTTGCCCTAGCTTCTTTATAGTAATTAAGTTTAGTAAGGAATTACCTAATTAATTTAAAGCATTGGATAAGCTACCAATCCTAGAAAAAAAAATCATCTTTGGGACTTACTAAGAGCGAGGAGAGTGAGAGCTTTAACATTTTTTTACTTTTTCTTGCTTCGTTTCTTCTATTGTTTAGTTAAAAGTTATACTTTAGTAGCTGGTGGTTCATAGGCTTGTTCTACAAATTCTCATAGCTTATTTTCCTTGAGAAAAGCTATCATTTTAATCGACCAAAACTTGTAGTTTTCTCCCCCCAAAACTAGTGGAGATGCAAGTACAAAGCTACCTAGAGCCATTCTTTCTTTTGACGCTTGAGATCTATAAGAGCACTAATACCACTTTTTTATTTTTGAACCAATAATATAAAAATTGAATAGCGTAAAAGTAAGATTGATATTCTACAATTTTTATGTTTTATAGATCCGTACCTTTTCCGGATACAAGACATATATATATATATATATATATATATATATATATATATATATATATATATATATATATATATATATATATATATATATATATATATATATATATATATATATATATATATATATATATATATATATATATGAGAGTGTGTGTGTGTTTGTGTTCAAAAGCATCACCATCCAAACAAGATTACCTATAATGCAATTATAGATGAAATAGACAAGCTTATGAGAGTTTTAATAGGGCTTGGAAAGGAAAAGAAATGAAAAAAAGGCAATGGAATGGAGGTCAAAGGTACAAAAGGCCACCAGTTTTAATGGTACATCATCCATGAATTTTGATGAATTGGTTAAGGAGAGGTTGTTGTCACAAGAACCGTAGATAAGCTTTTTTGGTTAGAAACTATGGTTAAATCTTGTTGTTTGCCTTTAATTTCATAATTGATAATTTTAAAGTAATTTGTTATAAAGAATGTTGAATTATTAGTCAATAGAAAAAAGTTCATAATCATTTTTTTTTATTTGGATTCCTATTTTCTATTTGTAATTAATTTTTTTTTATCATATTAACCAATTTTAGTCCACATTAAATGCACATGCAAGACATGTGAAACAAAAAAAAAACAATATATGTCCTGTGTTTCGAACTTTCAAGACATGTGTTTACTACTGCCTATTAGATATTATGCAACAATTTTTTAACAATAGTTCTAAAATTGTTGGTAATATAAATGTATGGCAATAGTTTTACGGTAATTCAAAACTATTCTAGTAAAATTATGATTTCACAAGCTAATTCACATAAACTGCTACACAAAACACTACATTTATTTTAAATAATTTACGATTAACCAAAACCACTACCTAAAAAGTGTTTAGGCAATGGTTTAGAACCATTATATATATGATTTTAGATCACCCTAAAATTTTATTACCTCACTAAAAATATCTCCATTTTCTCATTCTCTCCCGTGAAACACATCTCAATTTTCACTCACATATACGCTCTCTCTCTTTCTCTCTCTCTCTCTCTCACACACACACACATAGAGTTTCGATCTATCCTCTCTCACAAAACACATCTAAATTCTCTCTCTCTCTCTCTCTCTCTCTCTCTCTCTCTCTCTCTCTCTCAATTTTGATCTCTCATATTTCTTCTATCTATCACTTGATTTTATTTATCTCATATATTACTAATTTTCTCTTTCGAGTCTGTTTAATTTGTGTTTTTTTGTTAATAAAGTGTTATCGGAAGATTCAAAAGTGGTAGCAAAGTCATGACCCTTGCGGGATTAAGGGTGAAGGCTAGGGCTTTGTTGGACTAAATGGGGTTGGTGAGAATATGGGTTAGGTTGGGGAATTTGGGTTTCGTCGAGGGTTGATTAAGATAATTAGTAGTTGTTTGTGTTAATTTTTTTTGTGGGTTTACATTTCGGTATTTGTGTAGATTTTAGAGCTAAAGAAGGTCCTTTTATTCTTATTTTTTCATGTTTCTCTTATAGTTAGTTTCACTAGTTTCAATTTTAGTTCATGGTGTTTTTTTACTACCGGACAAATAAGCAATCATGAAAGCAAAAGATTTTTTATTGAATTTTTGCTACTTTGGAACTTGATTTTTAGGTTTCGATGATTGATTTTTTTGAATTTCTATATTTAGAAAATGATTTTTCTCATACTAATCTCATATTTTATTGATTTTCTTGTCCAAGTCTCCTTATTCTGTGTTGTTTGTTAATAAGGTGTTGATTTTATCTTATGAGACATTGGAATGTTTTCTCTTAACTTTTATCATGTCATGAATCTTGTTAAACATATTTGTGTTTTTCCTTAAGTGACATGTTTTCTCTATTATGTCTTTTAGCTCCTCTTCCAGGTCATCGGATTCAACATCCTAGATTTGAGCTATTGATTTACAATCTAAGGAATCTTATTGTTGTAATTACATCATGGATTAGTTGATGCTGAATTAGTGCTTAAAGATATCAAAACATGGCGTCTCTAAATGCTTCCTTGGATCTAGGTAACTTGATATTAGTATGGAAAAGAAAACAAATAATAAGAGGCATGTATATATGTCCGACTAGAGATAATTTTAAGACTGATAAAGCCACTTTATGGACTCGATTTTTTACCTCACTATATGTTATAAACTTCATATATTGACAAGCATCCTAGAACGAACCATCAATGATGAGATGAAGCTAAACATAACAAATCCAAGTTGAGAAAAAAGGCTAGCTTTGTGTCATATATCTATTTAACATATGTTGATATTTGTCTTATCGGTGATATTTGTCTAGGATTCATTAAATAGTTAAGACTTGATGTTTGTAATTGTAATGATGGATGATAGATCAAATGCATAACTTTGTAACATGTAGATGATTAATATTGTATGTTTTGCTAGGATTTTGGTTTTCGGATCTCTATTTTATACTAACTACGAGTCTCTTTACTCTTCTTCTACCTTACTCCATGTTTTAGAGAGCTTTTAGGGTTTGTGCATTGATCAAAATCTAGAGTTATATGTGACTATTATCAATATATGGAAGTTGTTAGAACTTGATCAAGCTTATATGCTACCAAAGCCATTCTCTCGCTTCTCAATTTTAGGTTGAGTTTCACTTTTTAATGCTTCGGTAATTTGATTCTCTAAACTTTATCAAAAGCTGGTTTGTAGCTAGACTCGACGAAAAATTAACTTAATCACCTACATCAATGGAAACAATATATAAAAGCTACTATCAAAATTGATTCTGTGAAGTTGGAGTTCACAATGGGTGGGAGGACATTTGTGATGTCAAACACTATTGCATGTGTAGTTAATGCAAATTCCATTATTGTAGGCATTTTAGGAGATGCATATCCTGCCTCATTCATTTCATAGATAGGCTTTCATAATTAGCATGTGCTCTTTGATATGTCGAAAACTTCTCGTTCCTTTACCTAAATCCTATTAGCTTAGGCTTTCATTATTTGTATGGGTTTTCCTAATTATAATTGAAATGGATAATGCTTTTGAACATTCTAATCTAATCCATTCTAGTGAAACCCATCGGTATTTTTTACCAAAAGAAGCAACAATGACAACAATTAGGAATAAGTTTCGAGAGGAATGAGTTGTGTCTAGAGTATCGCACATGCATCTATATAGATGTAGTTGAAGTGGGATTGGGACACATTAAATGCAGCCTATATTTTCTCATTCAAACTCCATTATACCATCTCTCATTTGTCGGTTAATTCATACTTTTTAGAGAAGCCTAAATCCAAATAAGGGCGAGTAGACACATCCATTTTAATGTTTTCCTATCTTAACATGTACTTGTTCAACAAGAAAACTATTTTTATTATATATTTTTTAAGTATGCTTCTTTTTCCCTTTGTCATCCTACATACAAATTATACCATTTCTGTTTTTGTTTTCAATTTTTTTTTTTTTTGGAAAAAAAAAATGAAAACAAAGATAGAAATGATACCAAACTATTTTAAAGATGCTTGCATTGTAGTAACTCCTTTACTCCTTAATATCTTAAATATTGAAGCTATGGGCCAATAGGTGGTAATTAGGTCTTGTTTCTTTTTAGTTTATGTATGCCATCATCCCTATGAACATGTTTCTTTTTTAGTTTATGAAAACCATGCTTGTTATTACTCTATACTCGTTGTTAATCAAATGACTTTTCTTTTTCTTTTTTTTTTTCCCTCCAACACTTCCTTCTAGCTCTAAAAAGAAGCATGTATATGTGCTTTTATTTGTAAATATTATTATAGTGGCCAAGGATTGGACATGGGAAACTTTTTATATATCCTAGTTGTTTGAGTAGATTGAAATCAATTTTATGAACACCCGCACTGCATGTGATGATAGTTAGCTAGCTTACTTGGAAAAGTTATCCGGGGTGTATCTTTTTTTTTTTCCTTATCTCCAAAGTATCCTAAGTCCAAAGCAACAACTTTTATGACCAAATGTCTTTGAATCACCGAACTCATGTGAGCACAAGTCATTTCTTGACTTCATTCAACTTATTGTGGCTAAAATTTATTTTTTGATAAGTCTGCAAGACACAAAGGATAATTTATTTCATTCAACTTGTTGGGGTTATAACGAGTTTGATTTCATTGCAATTATTATATTTCATTACTAACAAATATTTTTTTTCCCTAAAATTATAGGTTGCCTAATGTTATGAACTATTGAAATTTAGAAGGCAACTATAGGATTGACACTTTAGTCTATTGTTAAACTTTTTGAACTTTGAACTTTAGTTTACTAAAGTTGTCTAATAGGAACTTTGAATTTTTTTTTCCTAAATATTGGTCTTTTGTTATGCTTTTTAATATATTTTTTTAGATCTTTGAATTATTACTTTTCTTGTAATAGAATAATTAATGTTTGAAATAATGTTAAGAAACTGTTTAGATTATCGTTTTTTTCATAATAAATTCATATTTGAAATTGTCTTTAAAAATTATTGCAAATAACATGATAATTGTTGCAATCGACTAAAAATCAATTACAATAATATTGCAAATTATTGTATTAAATATATTATAAATTTTTGCATTGTCATGATAAACCATTGCATTTAGATTTCACAAACTATTACTATTCTCTTATAAAACTATTGCATTATAGATAGAAACGGTTAGTTTGCATATAGGAAAATCATTACATTAGAACAAATGAACTGTTGCCTAATACAATAAAAATTCGATATCAATGATTTATAAACCATGGCATAATATATTAGATAAACCGTTGCATTATTTGATAGAAATTGTTGCATAAAATAACTAAAAAACCATTGCATATATGGTGAGAATCATTGCATACGTTTTGACTTAAGCGATGCTATATCATTCCCAAAACTACTACTATATCATGCTCAAAACTGTTGCATAAAGTAATAAAGTAACGGTTGCAATTGGAGGATATTATGCAACAAAATGTTATATGTTACTATTGTATATGGAAATCTTTGCATTAATCTATTGCAACACTAGTCGGATGTAGTGGCTAGTAAACTTTTGCATTAGGAATGTAGCAATTTTCAATTGTTTAGTAGTGGTTTTCAACAGTATGTACAAGGTTTTATATGTGGTAATGGTTATTATTTTAATAATTTTATGTATTTCTCAAGTCACATGAAACAAGTCAACGAGATGAAAGAATTTAACTTCAAATAAAAAAAATGTTCAGGACTAAAATTAAAAAAAAAAAGTTATTATTATTATTATTTTTTTTTACACAAATAGTTTAAAATATTTTATAACCAATTAACTATATTCTTATTCCAATTGAGTCAAATAGTTTGTTTTCATTTAAATTAGTCCTTGAAATCCAATATAAGCTTAGCACACTTATTAGTTGACAACGGAACAACATGCTGTCAATAAATAGTGGAAGAAGATGTATATGCTTCAGAAAATGCAATATAAAACAACAAAATGGTAGGATAAGACTGTCAACGAGCAATATATTTTCTATTGATCACAATATATTTCAAATATATTCTTTTTGCAAAATTAGATGCGAATGTTGTGCACTGAATTCCAAGAACATGCATGCACAAATTGGCATTACAAAAAAAGCAATATAAAACTACAAAAATCATAGTAGGAAGTGCAAACCAGCAAATATTTTCTACAAACAACAATATATCCTTAGTATCTTCGTTTGGTAAAATTAGGTGCGAATATTTCGATTCCAAATTTCCCTATTTTTCATTAACCATGTGTTGTTGCCCTGTCAACCAATCATTTTCCTAATGATTAAAAAAATGGAACATGACCTATATGTTTAATCTAAGGTATATATAAATGAAGTCGGAAGATAACCTAAACGTCTTCGCACTGTGTCTTGTCTGACAAAAGCAGGTGTATAACGTTTAATTTGGTTGCAGATAACAATATTTGTTTATTTATTTATTTTTATTAATAAATTAACCATCCTGTTTTGGGAATTAAAAAAACAGTCCTCAATTACTAATCCTAAAGACCAGAGTCTAGAGAGGAAACATTAGCAAGTCAAATGTAACATATTTCCTACCAATGAGAACCTTACAAGAATTAATTCATACAATAGTGTAAGCATCATAGTCGAGAAGTTGAACAACTGAGTACCAACATACAAAATTTTCCTGCCAACTTCGAACTAACCCTTCAAAATTCCTCCTTATTCTCCACGTCCTAAATCTATAAAACCCCATCAATTGCACAGAAAATACCACTGCCCAAAACACACTTCTTACTGTTCGTGATTTGCTAAAACTCGTTTTTCTCAAAGCCATTATATTGCTAGCTATCTTCACAACCATGGTCAACCATAACTTCCGATCATTCATTTTACCTCTTATGTTGATCAGTATGTCACTGATGATCAGCCAGACAATTCTGGTAGAGGCACGACAACTCCTGGAGGTAACATTGCCTGAGCTTCCCAAGCCTGAATTTCCTGAGCTTCCCAAACCAGAATTACCTGAGCTTCCTAAGCCTGAATTGCCTGAGCTTCCAAAACCACAAATACCTGAACTTCATAAGCCTGAGTTGCCTAAGTTGCCTGAACTCCCAAAACCTGAATTGCCGAAGCTTGAAGTGCCAAAACTGCCTGGATTGCCAACTTTCCCCCATTTGCCTGAGATGCCTAAGCCCACATTGCCAACTATTCCTAAGGACATCGACCCATCTCACTCCACTTCTAGTCCTTGAAATCAGAATGATCTCTCCACATCCTTCATCTTTGCATGGTGTATTATTGTCTTGTGTGATGATAATTAATTATACTGTTCTCTAGCTATTTCCTTCTGTATATCTTTCTCTTTATTATAGAGGAGCTGTATTGTGTTATTGTTACTTGTACTTTATATTTATATTTACAGTTACATTATATGGAATGGATACACTTTTCTTTTGGTTCTGAATTTTAATTTGCCATTTCATTAATCACTTACCAGGAAAAAAAAAAAAAAAAAAAAAAAAAAAAAAAACCTGACTCATAGACGCCCATTAAAACCCAAAAATAAAAAAATTAACTATGTTAACAAGTAATTAATGTGAATACGTTCAGAGTTTCTTGGAGAAATATAATTGAGAAGTCTCTAATTGAAATAATTTGAATGATATCAAAGATGAGCATTATGTCAACGTGCTGTTCTCTGCCTTTGCAAATCTAGTTGAAAGATATTAGATACGGGCGCAGATGATTATCTCATATTTGGAGCTAGAATAAGCAAAGATTTACTTATTATTAGACACGTACTTTATTTATTCATTTGTTAAAAAAAAAATCAGCGCGTGTTTAAGTTAATAACCTTTTTTTTTTTTTTGGGAAAAAGTTAAGATGAATTTGACATTAAGAAAATCATAAAAAATATAGAGAATAGTGATTTAGTCTTTAATTGGAAAAATATATATTTCACAAATATATCTGTTACACAAGATCAATTTGACACTGAGAAAAATTATATATATAAGGGATGATCAGAGGCGGAGTCCGGAAAAATTTCTAGGGGAGCCAAACTATTATGACCGATCAAATAATTTTTCTTTCATATAAGAGTTTAACATTCTTAATATAATCTAAAGAGAAA